TTCAATGTTTTATATTTTATTCGTGTTATCTAAAACATATCTAAGTACCAAAAACTACCTACTCAACAAAAATGTGCTAAAATAATAAAATAAAAATTTATCAAAATATCCAAGTACCGACTTACTTAATCCTAGCTTTTTCGTATATAAATTAACATTGTGCCTATCTTTGGTGCTTAAATTAAGCCTAGTTCAGAAAATGCTCCGATTTCAAGAAGACCAGCGACCCATAGATAAACAAAGAAATACAATGTGTAACAGCTCGCAAAATTACGGTGGTACGTAGGTATCTAATTATTTTTCTTCTTCTTCTTTCATAATACATAGCATAGTTTCGTCTCTTGTCGGCCATAAAAGTAAGGAACTTCGTAAAAAATAGGATTCAAACGATGTTAGAATCTGTAGTTAGAAAGGGCATATCGCTTGGCATCGTAAATAGGTAATATTAAGCCCCACAACGCACGAGCCGCGAACCGCGGCGGATGGCGGTTGCGTGGATGTCGTTTGTATGGTTCACCCACTCGGTTACGCGGATGTTAGTCAGTGCGTTGTCGTACCTAAGCCTATACAAATTAACATCCACGCGACCGCCATCTGCGTATGTCGTACTACCTATCTATTATCTGGAAAATGGCGTGGCGTGTCGTGACGCGCCTGAGAAATACTTATTTGCAGGGGGTGTTGTGTCGCCGACACGTAAATATGTGATGGGTGCGGCCAGAGTGCACTCAGATTCAGATTCAGATTCCGAAAACAAGCGCGAGAAATAAACAGTGTAGTCGAAGGGTACGGCCAGAGTGCACTCCTGATTCAGATTCAGATTCATACTCAGAAAACAAAGCGCGAAAAAAAGCAGGCAACCTGCTTAGACTACACTGTTTATTTCTCGCGCTTGTTTTCAGAATCTGAATCTGAATCTGAGTGCACTCTGGCCGCACCCGTAAATGTATGAAACCGGTGTGCTTCTGGCGCGTCACGACACGACACGTTAATGTTTCTGCCTTCAGGCCGATCCAAGCTACGAGGACATTTCGGCACGTATACTCTATTCAACTTCTTTTGAGACAAAAGGTAAATAAATAAACCAATGTTTCTAAAAAAAATTATCTAGAGTAAATATGGCCAGTGTAACTAGACTAATGACAAAATATCACATTTCAGGGTACATTGTTGTCGATGCTGGCATGATTCTCTAAAGCTAAACTAAAATCTGACAACAGTGTATCGTTGTCATTCTCTATACATAATGAAAAGGACAGACTGATGTTAAATTTAGTTCTAAGTTAAGAGAATCCTGTCAGAATCGACACCTATTTGCTTTAACACTACTCTTCAATTTAGTTTTATTAAAATGCGTTCAGATTGGCAATACCTGTAGTTTTAGGTCTTTTTTTTAGTATCACTATTAGAAAATTCAGATTTTTGAAGCGTACAAAATTCGATCTATTTAAATGAAAATCCTTTAAATTTGTTTGTTTACCTTTTGTTTTAGTGGAAGTTGAATAGAGTAACTTAGGTACATAGCTACTTGTGTGGGTATTTAAGTACGATCACGTTTTGTAATTAACAATATTGGAAAAATCCGTACTTGGGCCTCACCCAAGTACTCGGAACAAGGTTCTTGGCTTTGCCCTCTGTTAGTTAATTAATAAGGTATACTTTAGGGACTCTTACTGCAAACAAAAATACTGAAGACGAGGCTGTATGGACTATAATTCTCTTGACAACCCCAAAGAAAAAATTGTACAAGAAAAAACACCTGTTTCACTGATACCAGATTGGGGGAATTCCCCCAAATTTGGGGGGTTTTTAAAGCGATGGGGGATAATTGGGGGGAAAATATTTTTGGGGGGATCAATGGGGGGAAGGAATTTGGGTTTGGGGCAAATTGGGGGATTTTATTACATTTTTTATATAAAAATAAAACCACTTCATAAACTTTTGATCTGTAAAAAGTCGCGATCAACAGACAATTGATAGTCTCTCTTTCTCATTCTGTGTAGAGCATTACAAAGATAGACTGTTGTCAAATTTAATTTGTTTAGTTTTAGAGAATCATGCCGGTTTCGGACCTCTCAGTCCAAAGCCTTCATAAGAAAAATCGTTGGTCCAATCGGTTTCGCTCAGTCGCTCGGTTAGTCAAGTCCATATTAAGTGAAGCAAGACAGTCAGTTGTTAATGTTCCACTTGACTAAATTCAGACGTTCTAAATCATTCAGGGACTAATTCAGTCAAGTGAAATAGCATTTAGTAAGTTAGGATCCTAATTAGCAACCTAAATCGGAAGAAGTGTGGCTTCTGACTGTCTAAATCATTTAGTATCCTAATTAGAACGCGATTTAGGAAGGTGGAATAGCGTTTAGATGCTTTAGTAGGGATGTCGAAAGTTGAAAAAAATATCGATATATCGATACATCGATATTTTAAAAAATATCAATATCGGCTTCGATATATTGCGAAAAAAACATCGATATATCGATATATCGGACCAATTTTCCCAAAAATATCGCTCACGAAATATGACACGCGGAATAATAATGGAACGAAAATTATCTCCCTAAAAATAGACCCTATTTTCGAATGATGACACAGACAATACTAAATACCGCACAGATCATAGATATGTTGTATATCATTAATCTGAGATCCAGTTACGATTTTTCCAGATACGAATTTAGTTAGATCGTGATATGCCGCTAATAATTAAAAAAATATCGTTTTTGATACGAATTTCGATATTGGTTATTTTGTATCGATGTATCGATATATCGAATCAAAATATATCGGCAAAAAATATCGATATATCGTACAAAAAATATCGATATATCGATATATTTTCAACAAGCCTATTAGCCTATGCTTTAGTAGTGATCCGCAAAATATTGAAAGTATCGATACTTACTCGATACCAAGTATCGTATTAAAAGTATCGATACCGGTATAAGTATCGTATCAAAAGTATCGATACTACTTGGTATCGAGTACTTTTTAACGTATTGAATGAAACATGACAAATGATTAGTTAAAAGTGGTTTATTACAAATGAACAGAAAAAACAACAGAAATAATTACAACCCCCAGTCTGTTTCTGAACAATCTGATAAAAATAACAATTTATCAAGCTTTGAACCAGTAAGACGATTGCGAGCTTCGCTTATTGTTGCGCCAGCTTTAGAAAACAGGCGCTTTGAAGGCACTGATGTGCCTGGCACAATAAGGTATTTTCGTGACAATGCATAGAGCTTTGGGAATACTGACTTCATGTCTTCCCACTGCTGAAAAATGTCAGACTTTAAAGGGGAGGGGAAAAAAGAACTTGCGAAAGTATCAAGTACTTTTGAAAGTATCGATACCTACTAAGTATCGAAAGAAAATGTATCGAGTTCTCAAATACTTGGTATCGAAACGAAAGTATCGATACTACTCAGTTATCGATACTTTTTGCGGATCACTATGCTTTAGTCGCACCGCAGGTGTCACTGCGTGAGGACGTGTTGTGTCTATTAGTACGAATTACGCGAGTGTCCGATGTCGGCGGTAAAAGAAAAAGAAGTTATGAGTAACATAATTGAATTTTATAAACATATGCCGGATCTTTAGAACAAAAACGATAAAAATAATATTATATATTCTTTCATCCACGTTTTTCGTTTTTTACTTTATTTTATTTTTATTGAGCCAATGGCCAGGCCTACGAGAAGACAGATTTTTTGTTGCTTTGACAGGGCTGGAGCAATTACGAAAAAGTCCGACTGAATACGCCGCGCGCTTGTAACTGACTGATTCAGTAACTAAATTGCTCAAGTGTAATCAGAAGCTTCTATAATGCGATTCAACTAAGAATTGGATCGACTGGGCGCTCTTTTGTGATGTCAAAGCTGTCAATTGAAAAAAATAGGTAGAGTGAGCAATAAAAGTTTTTCTTCGATAAAACTTATTTACTAAGATTAAGTGAGAAAAAACATCAGTTTTTTTTAATAAAACTTATTTACTAAGATTAAGTGAGAAGAAACATCAGATTTTATTAATAAAATTTATTTACTAAGATTGAGAAAAAAAAACACCGATTTTTAATAACATTTATGACTAAAAGTGTGTGAGTAAAAATATTAATCGGAATCTAGCTCTTCAATTCCGCTCAGCTCTGCATAACTACCAGAGTTATCATCGTCGTCATGTTTGTTTACAAATGTTTGGTTTTTTTATTCTAGAATTAGCTGAGTGCTAAAAAAGAGTTCCAAGATTTTTTGCAAACCGTACTTTTCAAGCGTCGTTTGACAGATGGAGGTCATTGGCTTTCCTATTCTTATTTGAATCGCATTTTAATTAGCCTTCTTTTATCTTTGCTCTGCTAAATCATAATCGTATCGTAATTTGTGCAGAATTACTTATTATGTAATCAATATTGTATTTTTATTAAATATTGTGCATGTTGGGGGTTTTTTCTTTAAAAAACCATATTTTGGGGGGATTCCGGGTAAGATTTGGGGGGAAGGCGAAATGACTTTCTGGTACCACTGTCTGTTCCACCCACAATATAATGGTGTCGATTCTAGCGTGAGTCTCTAAACTTAAAACTAAATTTAACATCAGTCTCTCCTTTTCATTCTGTATAGAGAATGACAAGGATGCACTGTTGTCAAATTTAAGTTTAGCTTTAGAGAATCATGCCAGAATCGACATCAGTGGGTCCAATTCTTAAAACATTTTACAATAGTCTACCCTTGTCATGGTCTATACAGAATGAAAAGGAAAGACTTGTTAATTTAGTTCTAAAGTTGAGCGGACTATGCTAGAATCGGTACCAATATTATATTGTATTTATTTTTGTTGTAATGTAATTGTTTTTCTAAAGTTTTGATATCTAGCGATTTTCTCTTTCTTTCATTAAAACTATAATTATAAATCAATGGTTTTTCTTCACTTCTCGTTGTGATTAAAAATTAGTTAACTTTATTACCTTTGCAATGTTGGAATAAAGGACTTCTTCCCATAAAAGTGATTTATAGTTTCATGGACATTAACTGAGGACACAGTACACTTATAGTGCTACAGTATCATATCACAATACTATGGCGACAAGACATCAAAGTAAAATCAAGTCCAGGATTAATGTTTCTAATAAGTCTGTATTTCATCTGCAAGATAAAAAAACTGATGATAAAGAGCTGTCTATTGGTTTGATCAAATCAGCTAAGCGTACGGGACAATTGAGTTTATGTAACAGAGGCCTTGGAAGTGGTAAGCTAATATTTTGTAAATTAGAGCTGGATTGTATTCCAAGTTGTTTTGAAGTCCTGTCAATTAAAATTACTAATGTAATAAAGTAGAAATTTCAATAACAATGTGCTTTGGCCAAGGTTACAGCTGAAAGATAAGTTCTAATTTCTATTAGTGATTACTTAATTAGTAACTAACTTTTATATTTCAGTACCTGACAATGTATGGAATATTGATGATCTTGTTCTGGAGGAAACAAAGGAAGTTGATCTTTCAAGATCAGATATTCATAACTGGTGGAATTCTGAACCATTAAAGATGCTCGATTTAAGCTCCAATGCTATAAATATGATATCCCCCAATATAAAATTGTTACAGCATCTTGTTACTGTCAAGGTACACATACACAATACTAACAAAATACCACAGTTTTTTATTAATAATGTACAAACTTCAACTATGTAGTAACAGTGTTTTGTTGAAATCTCTTAAATGAAATTGGGTTCTAACTTGTCATTCAATAAAGACAAAACACTGTTTAATTATAATAAGTCTAAGCTTAAGCTAATTTAATACTTTTGGTAGTTAATAAAGGGTCTGTAAATCTTTGGCACATCAAATAAATTGCTTAGTAAACTTTTTTGACCAATACCTATTACACATACTTAGAGAGTTCAATAAAATAATAATTTAATGCTTCAAAAAGTCTCATGTTTCATAGAATTGTTATCGCTAAGTAAATGACAACATCAAATTTGATTGCACATAAAAGATGATATATCTCAGTAAGTGTGAAAAAACCACACTCCACATAAATAAATAAAGCAGAAAAATTTATACTTTTTACTTTTATCTTTGTTGTTGTTGCTGTGCTAAAAACCAGTGGATTACCTACTTAATTATTCATAAGGTTCAATGATTTCAGCTTCATGACAATGCATTATCGAGTTTGCCTCCAGAGATTGGAGAACTAAAGTTACTTTCAAATCTGAGTTTGGACAGGAACAAGCTTACTGAATTGCCAAAACAATTCTATAAATTAACAGAGCTCAGATGGCTCAGCATATCATACAATGAATTAAAAAAAATTGAACCAGATTTTGGTGATTTAGTCATGCTGACTTTCTTGGTGGGTTGAAGTCAACTTTCTTATATTAGGTATATTATATTACATTTGAAACTTTCAAACATTTAAATAATTACAGGATTTATCTCACAATAAACTTGTAGAGTTGCCACCAGGCATGGGTTATTTGGTTCGTTTAATTGAACTAAACTTATCACATAACCAACTACAAGAACTGCCACCTGATATTGTTAATCTCAGAGGTAAGAAAATTTTATTATATAATTTTCAGTGGCATTGAGATAAAGCATAGTACCTGATTTCAGCATGATTTCCTAAATGTATAACTGATTTGGCAGCAGGTCCTACTTCTCATTCTGTATGAATAATGATAAGTTTATATGATTGTCAAACAATTACATAATTATGTGTGTTATAAAGCTCTTTCTGTACTAATGTATAAAAACATTAAAAATAATTATAATTGTTTGAGAAATATCAATCATTTTAAGATTAAATAAAATAAATTTTAAATCATAAAATGACATCAGGTATGTAGCAATATGTATGTTAAGTGGAGTCATTTTGATCATAAAGTCAAAAGTTTCCATATATATTACTGCTTTTATTCTGCTTGTTGCAATTAAGCATTCATTTATGATGCTCATTAACAGACATTTTAACGCAGCGCTGTGGCCTAACTGATATATTATTTTTAGATTTGAAAAAAATGAACATAAGCAACAACAACCTAAAAAAGCTTCCCCCATTAGGTGAACTTAGAAAAATGGAAATGTTTGATGCAAACCACAATGATATTGATGAACTTCCTGACTTTTATGGTTGCACTGCATTGAAAGAAATATATTTAGCTAACAATTTTATAAAGGTATTTTTATGTTAACATAACATTACTAAAATTATGACTATATATTTAAACATAATTTCTTGTATAATATGAATATTAGTCATATAATATGCTGCTTAGAACTGCTAAGTAAATCTGAAATAAGGTAAGCTAAGCATTTGACTGTGTAAAATGTTAGTATCTAAATTTTTCAGGAAATAACGGAAGAATTCTGTGATCAAATGCAACATTTAAGTGTATTAAATATCAGAGACAATAAAATTGAAGTGCTGCCTGAAAATGTATCCTTATTACAGACACTAAAACGACTTGATCTTACCAATAATAACTTAAATAAGTAAGAATATGTTTATTAATTAATACATGTAAGAAAAACTTCAAACTTTCTCTTAAGCACTCTTGAGCTAGAGGCGGGTGAGAATTTACATAAAATTTAAGTATCTTATATGATCGTGTCACAATGTTAGTTACCATACTCCTCCGAAATGACCTGACTGATTTTATATGCATATTTCGTGGGTCTGAGAATCGGCTACTGGTGTCGATTCTAGCGTGATTCTCTAAACTTAAAACTAAATTTACAATCTGTCTCGCCTATTCATTCCATATAGAGAATCACACATACGCACACAGACACGGTCACACATACGCATACATACACGGTCACACATACGCATACATACACGGTCACACACGCATGTGTGTACACACAGAGTACACAGACACGGTCACACATACGCACACACAGGCACATGCAATAATGTGGCCAATAATAGGCTACCACTAGGGCTCACATAAACTCACTATATTTAGACTAATAAACTGTTTAATATCGTAAGTCTATGAAACTTTTACATTACAGGTTACCCAGAAATCTTGGGTTGCTTTCGCAACTACAAAGTTTGAGCATGGATGGCAACAAATTGTCATCTATAAGACAAGATGTGATAAGAGGTGGTACTGATCGAATGATGAAGTTTTTACGGGATCGCATGACGGAAGAAATCGTGAGCGAAACTAGGACTGATAAAGACTCTATGTGGCCTGACAAGTACGTTTATTATACATAAACACACATTACTATAACTACACTATATATAAGCCACTCGAGAAATGGTGTGCCTCTAGAGGTATTCGAGGCGGATGGCATGTCCCCATGGGGGGAGTCTCCTCTCCGTCTGGAACCACTAGACCACTCGAAGCCTCGAACACCTATATACGCCTATCGACGTATTCCAGAAAAGTCCTGTACTATTGTTCACTAGACCGGCAAATACGTGGTACTTAGTTATAAGTAGGTAGCGTGCATGAGTTGTGAACTTTTGCAAATGTCATTACACTTTCACCCTTACTCCGCACTGCATAAGGCTCATATTAAAATGGACCTGACCTCTGCCTTTATCAAGATAATTATCACACGAGCCGCGGCGGTCTCGGTTAAATCTGTTTTCAGTATATTCGCAGTTTGGGATCGAGACAATATTACATCACTATATAATACTAGCTGTGCCCCGCAGTGTTACCCGGGGTTTATTAGGGATATTTTCCGGCAGTAAAACGTAGCCTATGTGTTAATCACCCTGGATTAACACATAGTCAGCTAACTCCATACCAAATTTTATTAAAATCGCTCCAGCCATTTAGACGTGAAGAAGTAACAAACATACACACTGAAACTTTCGCCCTTATAATATTAGTGTGATTATATCTGCATTCGTGACAATATTACATCAATATTTATACTTATTACCTCTCTATCTATTTTTTTTTGTTTTGTATGTTTGAAAAAATAACTACGGGTCCGATTGCAAAAATTAATTCACCATTAGAATGCTTTATCCCTATCGAAACATAGGTTATATTGATCGCGGTAAAGTAAAGTGCACCCGTGTAAAGCAAAATAGGATAATACTGATGTGTGGTGTAATGGTGGCAAGTGAAAGTGCTGCACTAATTATATTTCAGTTACTTTGATAGTATTGTATTATAATGTTTCAATAATACTCCAAAGAACGGCAGCAAACATATATTCTATAAGCATTTATCCTATAACCCTTAGGCCCGATTCACACCGGAATGGCAGCGGCCGGCAGAGACGCGGTGAGCACTTTCTCGCTGAAAGATTTGAAACTTTATCTACATACTCAAAAGACCAATATCGCTTGCCCCCCCTAGCATCGGCATCGCGACATGATATATAGGTCATCTTTATCACACTGAATTGTCAAATTACTATGGGGTTTGACAGTTAGACCCGATAAAAAACGTGATTCATAATGTAAATTGTGCTTAAACTACGGGGACTGAAAAGGTTCCCGCGGCACGTGGCGCGTATGTAGATAAAGTTAAAATTTATTTCACACTGCTTTCAGTGAGAAAGTGCCGGCCACGTCGTTGCCGGCCGCTGCCATTCCGATGTGAATCGACCCAGATGTATCTCGAGATTGTTAGTGTCTGTAAATTTTGACACAGGTACACATTGAAGAAAAGTCAAGCCTTCATGGTTCCCGGGCGCAACTTGTCCGATGTGCCCGACGATGTATTCAAGGCTGCCGCCGACGCGGAAGTACACATCGTTGACATATCTAAGAATAAACTTACTACCATTCCTGTAGGGTAAGCATTAAATTATACTATCAAAACATTATTTAAATTCTTACCTGTAAGCTTTCTATGTAAGATTATGACTTGTACAATCTCACTTTTCTCTTGAAGATAAAACATAAGTTCCACCTTTTATTGTAACATCATTTTTGTTCCCAATTATAAACAAAATGAGAAAAAAAAATACTGAGTTCAGGGTTTAAATTTGTTTATTTATATGGACCGGTTACATGGATAAAATATACTTTAGTGTAAATCGCGCTTCTGCAGGCACCCCCTAAGAAAACAAGAGCAGTTAACTCTTCCATACATTTCTTATCAAACAATAAATATAAGTTATAGCGCTATGAAGTCAGGAACTTTTCATGTGAATTGAAGCCCTGGTGTGAAATAAATGTTTTAATTAAAAACTTAAGCAATTATAGCAATTTATTAATAGGATTTCTACAACACTTCCGGACACAACTTTTGTCCCACCTAGTTTATAAGTTTCAATGGTCTGTAGCAAAAGTATAATATGTTAGCTTGAGCAATAATAATATTTTTTTAAAACACACGAAAAGATGTTTAATAAATCAGCTTCAAAACAGCGTAAGACCATTTTGCTAAATGTAACATTTCTTTTAGGTCAGAAGCTATTAAAACTTAAAATGCTAATGCTGTAGGCTGATAGATGTGTCCGGAAGTACATTTTTTTGGAGTCTCGGATATATCGGCGTGTGTTTTTCCAGGGTATGCGCAGTGAAAGATACTCTGTCACAGTTAATATTGTCTTCGAACAACATCGCAAACATTCCAGCCGAGATTTGCTGCTGCATTCATGTGCAATATCTTGATCTCGGAAAGAATTACTTGTCGGACTTGCCTCCAGAAATTGGGACCATGAAGAACTTAAGGGAACTCGTTATATCAAACAATAAGTAAGTAGATAATTAATTATGGTTTTTGTGTCATTTTTGAACAGAAGTATTATTTATATCCAAAGTGCTTCATTTATATTTTATTTGTAACCTTTAATTGACTTTTTGTCATTATTTCAGTTTCTTACTTTTTTTTATTACACGTAGTTATTACAGTACAGTTTATTGGAAATAGTTTGAAATCGAATTAACTTCGAAAGTGATGTACAGAAATAACATATAGCAGTTACCCAAAATAAGCAATTATTCAAAAAAATATTTCAAAGGAGGTAAGGTAGCGCCAAACTTTTTGAGCAAACCCACAGACAAATAAGCTTGCGGAATTGACGTTTTTTCGTATGTAAAATTGCTACTGCGCAGGCAAGTTGTCTGTGGTTGATGTTAAAGTTTGACAGGTTTTATACCGTAAGAGCTGTTAAAAGTTTTTTTTCTTTTGCCCTACTTCAGAATTGACTTTTGTTGAGGTAGAAGACTGGGCGCACATGTACGGTTTCCTGATCAGAAATCTCGATTCGGAATCCTGAATCCTTACATAAAAAAAGTTCAACAGCCGCACAGTGTTCTTTTTTTTTGAGAATGGAAAAACCTAATTTTCAGTTCCGAGTTTAAGCAATAAAAACAACGAAACGTCTGAGCTAGGCTTAGGCTACTATAATTCCGGATCAGGAAACCGTATGTGTGCATCCCGTCTAAATGAAACAGTCGCGTAATAAGTACGCATAATGTAGGTTTACGAAAATTCCGCGGTGCGTGTACGAGTTGGAGAACTTGGAGATCCTGCTGGCTGCGGAGAACCAAATAGAGGAGATCAACGTATCGTCGGACGCTCTCGCGCGCCTGCGCCGTCTCGCCGTTCTGGATCTGTCTAACAACAATATCGCCACCGTGCCGCCAGAACTCGGCAAGTTCACGCACTTACGGTAAGTCTATACCACACACACAGAACACGACTACTAAAGTCCGTATTACTCAACTTTTTGCGTCGTAAGAGTTAGAGAAGCTGGAGGTCCTGAAGAACCAGGAGAACCAGATCGAGGAGATCAATATATCGTTGGACGCTCGCGCGCGTCTGTGCCGCCTCGATGTACTAGATCTGTCCAATGCCAGCACTTCACTTGGCTATATGTATTTGCTGATAGACAAATAAATATAATATCAAATGGCTTTGAAATTCGAAAATTGGTAATTATTATTAATTCATCAATGTAGTAACGTGACTAGGTTAGACGGGCAGGTTATTTTGTTTCCTGCTGGATAAACATTCGTCTGTGATTTCCACTAGCATTGACAGTTAACTATAATAGTGGGATAATTTGTAAAAAAAATAGTACCTATAATGCTATTCAACTAAGAATAGGACCGACTGGGCGCCATATTTTGACGTCATAGCTGTCAATTCAAACCAAATCGGTAGAGTGAGAAAAAAATGTTGCTATTTAATAAAACTTATTTACTAAGATTAAGTGAGACAAAACATTAGATTTTTTAATAAAAATAATTTACTAAGGTTGAGAAAGAACACAACCGATTTTTAATAGTATTTGTTTATTAAGACTGTGTGAAAAAAAACATTAATCAGAATCTAGCTCTTCAATTTCGCTCATCTCTGCATTACCGCCGCCGGAGAAGTTATGAATAATCATAATGCATGTCACATACGAACATGCATTCTATATGTAAACGAAAGTTTTAAATCATTTGGTTGACGATATATAAGTTATCAACATTCATAGCCAAAGCTCAATAAATGAAAAAAAAACAACTAATATTAATTATCAACATTTGATATTGTTTGTTTAAAAATGTTTGGTTTTTATTCTAGAATCAGCTGAGTGCTAAAAAAGTGGTCCGAGATATTTTGCAAACGGTACTTTTTAAGTTACAATTGACAGATGGAGGTCATTGGCTTTCTCATTCTTATTTAAATTGCATTATACTATAATTAACATTAACATTTTGTTTCGACTCCTTGCCAGTGGGAATCGGACCTCAGAAATTTATTATACGGAAAATATAATTGTACTCACCGCTTTTGCTCTCTAACAATTGCCGCGTGTTCCAAACCAATTTTTTAATGAATCGTAAACGAGTTTGACATGAGTGAGAAAAATCAAAACACAGAACCGACGTTGACAGTTGTCACGCGCGTACTGAGCTTACAAGAATGACTTACGGAATGATGAGTAGGTAATGACACGCAAATATAGTTTGATTAAAAATAAACTAAATACATAACCTATCGAAATTTCACTAAGCAAAAACTTAGACTTATTAAAAAACTATGTAACAAAGCAAGTTTCGTTTTTATAGTCATATTAGTTTTTAATATATTTGATTGTAAAGTAAAACATTGTATATTTTTTAAATACAAAATCTATCGAGAAAGTTTTTGATAATGTTTACAGGCTTGTAAAAATTTAGCTTAAGAACCGATGATATACATATATAGAAATCACATGTACATCATCTATAAAGGAATAATAACAGCGACAAAAATTATGACTTCACTATCTAGAGCGCCTTATGATGTATGAATTGTGGGTACATGAATCACACTTGTAGAGCTCTTAACAGTTGAGATTGAAATGAGTGGAATATGGACTTTGGTTACTTAATATTTTTTATGTATGTGTTTAAGCTGTGTGTGTAAGCTTGGCGCAGGCGAGTATACATTTTTTGGTCATAAAATGAGATAGCAAGATTACAAAATTCGAGGGGTTAAGTTACAATTACTATCTTGGTATAAATCGATAACGCGCATTCTAGTCAGGATCTGAATCTCACTGGAATGTAAATACAGATAGAAGACTGTGAAAGAGACGAAGTGATCGTGCTGTCTATGCTTGTTTTGTATATGCCGTGTATGGCCAGCCTACAAAATGGTTTTGATTCTGGGTAGTAGTCACTTAAATTCCATGGGGTGTCAAAACTAACCCAATGAATTTGTGTCTGCTGATTTCTGTCTGACACAAAGATATCCGGTTTAAAAAATATTTTACATGTGTTTCGAATAGGCATGCATTTATGAATATTGTTAAATTTACAGAAGTTTGGAGCTCATGGGGAACTGTTTTCGTCAGCCACGACACGCCATTTTATCTAAAGGCACCGCATCTGTTCTATCGTATCTTAGAGACAGGATCCCCACCAACTAATACATAGATTATATCCATACTCCGCCCCACCAATTATCAATTTGTAAAATTTAGAGTCTAAGTACAGAAAGTTACTGACTGCCATTTCACAAAACTTATTATTTCATTAATATGCGCTAGACAATTACTGAAATGTAAGTCTGTATATTTCATGGCAAGTCAGATTAATAATTTTGGAGTATTTTTATTTTTGCGGTTTACGTGTAATCAAGTAATATTTCAACAGTTATTGGTATTGTCAGTTTTTGATTTCACAATTTCATAATCAACTTTCTGAAATCAAATAGGTTAAAACCTTATTTTGTTTTATTTCATTAAAGATATTGGTCCAAGTAGACCTCTGTGAAGTTAGCCCCCCACTTTTTAAATTTTATTATTATCTAGGTTGTTCTGGGTTGTTCTATGTTTGTTCTACATTGTTCCAAAGTATTATTTGAAAAAACTCAAATTTGAAGCTGCCAGACAAGAAAAACCGTTTTTCTATGGTAGCCCCCCATGTTTGGAAATTCAATATTTTTTTAGTTGTTCCAAGTTGTTCTAGTTGTTCCGAACGTTGTTCCAAAGTATTATTTGAAAAAACTCAAATTTGAAGCTACCAGACAAAAAAAACTTTTTTATGGTAGCCCCCCATGTTGGGAAATTCAATATTTTTTTAGTTGTTCCAAGTTGTTCTAGTTGTTCCTAACATTGTTCCAAAGTATTATTTGAAAATATTCAAATTTGAAGCTGCCAGACAAAAAAAAACTTTTTTTATGGTAGCCCCCCATGTTTGGAAATTCAATATTTTTTTAGTTGTTCCAAGTTGTTCTAGTTGTTCCTAACATTGTTCCAAAGTATTATTTGAAAAAACTCAAATTTGAAGCTGTCAGGCAAAAAAAACCGTTTTTGAGATAGCCCCACCTCTGTGAAGTTAGCCCCCCACTTTTTGAATTTTATTATTATCTAGGTTGTTCTGGGTTGTTCTATGTTTGTTCTACATTGTTCCAAAGTATTATTTGAAAAAACTCAAATTTGAAGCTGTCAGGTAAAAAAAAACCGTTTTTGAGATAGCCCCACCTCTGTGAAGTTAGCCCCCCACTTTTTGAATTTTATTATTATCTAGGTTGTTCTGGGTTGTTCTATGTTTGTTCTACATTGTTCCAAAGTATTATTCGAAAAAACTCAAATTTGAAGCTGCCAGACAAGAAAAACCGTTTTTCTATGGTAGCCCCCATGTTTGGAAATTCATTATTTTTTTAGTTGTTCCTAACATTGTTTCAAAGTATTATTTGAAAAAAATAAAATTTGAAGCTGTAAGACAAAAAAAAACTTTTATCCATAAAATAAAATCAATCGTACCTACCAGAGACACTAAATACATCAAAAATCAATTTAAACAATGACGATTATACAACAACAGTACAACCGTGGGCTATATCGTTCCAATTTCATTTAATCATTTTGAATTAAATTAATAGAAAAGAAAACATTAGAATATAGGGTAAACTCCCTAATTATTGGCACTTTAAGAGTAGGTAGCTGACATTAAATTACAATAAAATTGGTAAGTAGATGGGGGATACCATAAAAAACAAAAGTGAAATAGTGCCAACTTGCGCTTTTGCCTTGAGGGTAGATACCACTTCTGCTCGGGGGTGAAAATAATTTTAATAAAAATAACTCCAGGAATCGATACAAAGACAAATTCTAAGTAAAATTTGTTATATTAAGTTTTCGGAATAAATCAATACTTTCTGAGTTATTAAAGATAAAATATTGTGATTTTGCGTTATAAAAATACATGTTTAAGCGGTTTTTCATAAATAACTCAAAAACTATGAGCTTTACAAAAAAATGTTAGTACCAAAATTGAAGCTAATAAAAAAACAAACAAACGCCTACTTTGAAAAATCTTCTAATTTCAATTCAAAGTGAGCTATAGGTAATTGTATGTACATATATTTTTTTCGGCAAGTACTTAAATCTAAGTATTCAAACCTAAATAACGGGAAACCGATGAATTTATGACATACATTTCCGGAGCACTTTTTAAATTTCTCAGAAATACCTTTATAATGAGTACTGTAAAAAGTTAACAACTTCAAAATTTAAAAAGTTATGATAAAAATAAGATAACACTTATTTTTTTTAGGAAAAACGAAAAATAAACCCTTCATTCCAACCATTCATTAAAATGCATCGGTTTCCCGTTATTTAGGGTTGGAAACTTAGATTTAAGTACTCGTCGAAAAAAAATATACATACAATTACCAATAGCTCACTTTGAATTCATATAAGAAGGTTTTTCAAAGAAGGGGTTTGTTTTTTTTTAGTAGCTTCAATTTTGGTAATAATTAGACTTGCAACGAATAGTATATTCGGCAGTATACCGAATATTCGGCGAGGCCCCTGACCGAATAGCTGAATATTAGGCAAAAGTATCCGGCTGGATTTTAGCGCCAAAAACTTGTACAAGCGCCAAAAACTTGTGATTGTTTCGCGCCCTTTTGTTTGCAGTGCAATTCAGTCAAACGCAGTTTCAACAGAAATGGATCTTTTCTTAAATATTAGTAATATATCACGTCATGACAACCCATATACATGGTGGCAGCAAGGAAAATTGAATTTCCGTGTTTGATTAAGATTGCAGCAAAATATTTGTCGGCGCCAGGAAGTAGTGTTTATTCAGAGCGCCTTTACTCTGAAGCTGGGATGGTGTTCGAGAAAAAAAGAATTTCTACTACTTCCTAAAAATGCAGAAAATTTAATCTTTCTGCACCATAACCTCCCCCTTCTAAATTTTGATTATGAAAATAATTCAAATGCATAGAAAAATTCTTAACTTGTTTAATACAGAAAATGATGAAATTATGTACCTGTTTTATGTACCCATGACTACTTAATAAATTATTATAAAATAAATGAGAACCTTTTAAATTTTGATTACCACAATAATTCAAATACATAGAGTCCTCCATTTTTCCAATTCAGAAGATGATTATGTACCAATGACTACTTTAATGATTATATATAACAGAAATTAAAATATGAATATATACCTACGTAATCAATCGATATTAATTTTCATTTTACCAATTATTTCTCTATGACAAAATATATTATTTAAGTATTTGGTATTCGGACGAATAATATGTAGGTATTCGGTATTCGGCCGAATATAATAAAAGCAGCCGAATAGGCCGAATACCGAATAGTAACAGAATATTCGTTGCGTCTAGTAATAATATATTTTTCTTTAAACTCATAGTTTTTGAGATATTTATAAAAACCGCTTAAATCATGAATTTTTTGGCACAAAATCACAATCTTTGATCATTATTAACTCAGAAAGTATTGATTTATTTCGAAAACTTAATATAACAACTTTTGCTTAGAATTTGTCTTTCTATCGATTCCTGGAGTTATTTTTATTAAAATAATTTTTACCCCCGAGAAGGGGTGGTATCTACCCCTAGGGAAAAAGCGCAAGTTGGCACTATGTCACTTTTGTTTCATATGGTATCCCCCACCTCATCACCATTTTTCATGAAAATCGATGGAGGTTCATCGAAATCGGAGGTTATAGCTGATTTTTGCCTTCATTGACTGTACTATTATGAAAACAAAGATTGAACTATATTTCCTTGATACTGTTACATGTGTTGTGTACTAACTCATTTAGATGTGATTTTATGGTAATTTAATGTCTGACTGACATGGAACCTACTCTTAAAGTGCCAACAATTAGGGAGTTTACCCTATAGTGTAATGTTTTCTTGTCTTATAACTATTAATTTTATTCAAAATGATTAAATGAAATTGGAACGATATAGCCCACGGTTGTACTGATACGATCGTCATTGTTTAAAATTATTGTTGATTTATTTATTGTCTCTAGTACGATTTGATTTGGCGGGCTATCTGAAAAACGTTTTTTTTTGTCTGACAGCTTCAAATTTGAGTTTTTTCAAATAATACTTTGGAACAATGTTAGGAACAACTAGAACAACTTGGAACAACTTTAAAAATAACGAATTTCCAAACATGGGGGGCTATCTCAAAAACGGTTTTTTTTTTCTGACAGCTTCAAATTTGAGTTTTTTCAAATAATACTTTGGAACAATGTTAGGAACAACTAGAACAACTTGGAACAACTAAAAAAGTATTGAATTTCAAAACATGGGGGGCTACCATAAAAACGTTTTTTTTGTCTGGCAGCTTCAAATTTGAATATTTTCAAATAATACTTTGGAACAATGTTCGGAACAACTAGAACAACTTGGAACAACTAAAAAAATATTGAATTTCCAAGCATGGGGGGCTACCATAAAAACGTTTTTTTTGTCTGGCAGCTTCAACTTTGAGTTTTTTCAAATAATACTTTGGAACAATGTTTGGAACAACTAGAACAACTTGGAACAACTAAAAAAATATTGAATTTCCAAACATGGGGGCTACCATAGAAAAACGGTTTTTCTTGTCTGGCAGCTTCAAATTTGAGTTTTTTCGAATAATACTTTGGAACAATGTAGAACAAACATAGAACAACCCAGAACAACCTAGATAATAATAAAATTCAAAAAGTGGGGGGCTAACTTCACAGAGGTTCCAAGTAGGCCTTCAGAGTTTTAAGCTAAAAGTTTGTTGGAAAATATGTTTTGGGCAATCTAAGAGTTTTTATAAGTTATTATCGTAGAAATCTACATATCTTAAATTAATGATTTGGCACAGTGTGCAATTTCTTTTTTACAGCAGATTTTAGGGCGGAGTATAAATTTATTATTATTGAAAAAAAAAACAATTTTCAAGCTTGATGCGCTTTTGACAACAGCTCTAGCTGGCTATCTATGTAACAAAAAGTTTTGCGTTATAAAGAAACCATGCACAGATCGCCCTTATAAATACTATAATTATTTCGCCGTTTAAAAACGCATTATGAATCTATGTTAAATAAAACAAAAAGTGTATGAAACGCATATTCGCACCAGCCTAAATTCGATTCAAACTTCAACCGTCATAAAGTTTGAATCAGCTGATATGCGACCGTTTTAGTCCTGTCACTAGGGGAAAAAGGGGTAAATCTCGAAATTTGAGATAATAAGCTGGAAACTCGTGTACATCTTCATTTTGGCGTTCTAAAA